TTTAACATTTTTGTTTTGATGTCAAATAAGTCTTGCTGTTTTGCTTTTTTGTTAAAGCAGTGTTTCTGTTGTAAAATTATACAGCTACTGTTGTGTTGCTGGGTTTTAAAGCAGGTTTGATTTTTTTTCTTCCTTATCCCTCTGTATTTACAGGATTTCACTGTCCATTCTGTTCAAATGTGGATGAATGGCTACACATAGATGTGTGCACACACTGTCAGAGCTGTGTGAGATCACTACCATCCTGCTTTTGTGGGGGTGGGTATAGGGTGTTCATTTTTTTTCCCCATATGTGTTTAACATTCTAATAGCTCTTTATTCCAAAGATACTACAAGTTAGTCAGTGTATTCAGCAGGTGTAATGTATTCTAAGTTGCTTCAGAAGTATTGCAAGTATTATGTACGACAATAAAACAGTGCATTGACATAAAAAAGGAAATTTTCTTTTGGTACTTAAGTACTTTTAAAAGCAAGTACTTCTGTACTTTTACTTGAGTAAAAATCTGTCTTTACAACTTTTACTTGTAATGGAGTAATATTTGACCAGCAGTATCTGTACTTTCACTCAAGTAATGGAGTTGAGTACGTTGTCCGCCTCTGCTGGTGTTACGCATCTGTGTACGTCAGGTCTGGTTTGGTTTAGTTCTTGTTTTCTTAGCTTCTACAGTATGTCTGTCCTTGGTTGTTTTTTCTGGTTTCTGATTAGTTACACTTGTGTCTCGTTACTTATTCCAGTGTGTGTATAAATAGCACTCTGTTTGTTCATTGAGTTGACATTCGTCTTTGTGTACAAAGCTATGCATTTACCTTTACCTTTTGGATTTCTAGGAATTCTTGGATTACCTTCTTTTGTTTTTTTTAATAAATAACTCACGTCCTTTAACACAAGTGAATGTTACTCAATAATCTCACAATTCTTGCTCGCTCAATTTAGTGAAACTTTACAGGAGTCCCCAAACTGTCTACTGTTAATCATAAAACCCAGTGGAAGACATGTAATTGTGATGTTTTGTCGTAAGCTGTTAAATTATTACAGGCTGTCCAAAGAGCTGTCGAAATGGCTGATTCATCAGTCCTTTATGCAAAAAAGGCTTTATAGCAGAACCACGCTGCTTGAATTCAACCGTTCCACGTGCAAGTCAATCGTGGATCGTGTTACATCAAGTTTTGTGCAGTTGTAGCTTGTCAGACTACAAGCAGTGTTACTGGGTGTCTGTAAAACCGTTCGTTCACAGTACCTGCAGCTGCGAATTGTGATCTGTCAGGTTGGTGTTGTAGTTCCAGCTGGCCTCTGTGCTGAAGTAGAAGACCTCCTCGGCGGTTGAGTTGTAGTCGCTCACGAAGCTCTCAGCCCCTGCCTCTGTCATAGGATAATCCCCCGGGATCCACTCGGGTTTCAGAGCTGCGCTCGTGCTGATGAGAGTCAGCAGCACCACTGCCCGGTACATAATGGACCACAGCTGCGACGTGAGGAACGGGAAAAGTGCAGGAATGAAAGTTCCCCGAGGAGCCGACTTGACACGCTCACTGCTGGATGCTCCTGTTCTGTGGTTGTTTCCTATCTGTATTCTTCCTCCTCCCTTTCCCCTGTTAATCAGGCACAGAGCAACCACAGTCGGCTCTTTTAAGTGCCAGTTTAACCCAACCCACCCTCTCTCTTGAAAGATACACACAGTTGTTCTCTTTCGCTCTCTCTCTCTCTGTCCCTCCTTCTTTCCCCTTCCTCCTCTCTACCAGGATCTCCCTCTACATTTTAGTCTCTCTCAACTTCTGGACACCTGGATTTTATAGAAAGAAAAATAATTTCTTAATATCTCAGTCGTTTCTCTGAGACAGCAGTGAGATTCTCAGACCTTGCATGCGTTTCAGGAAACATCTTAACAGTGTCTCCAAATGTTCAGGTTTCAAAGACATTCAATCAGAAGTCTGGATATGAACTCATAGATTTATTATCTTTTTAGAACAAATGATCATTCATTTTATAGCTCTTCTTACTGTATGACAGCATTTGTGTCTGTTTTTATTAAAGAGAAAATATGCTACTTCTGTCATCATTTACTTACTATCATGCCGTTCCAAACCTGTATGCCATTCTTTGTTCTTTGGAACATAAAATAAAGTATTTTGAAGATTTTTCTTTTAAAAATTGTCTTCTGTGGAACATAAATGAAAATATTTTGAAGATTTTCATTTAAAAAAATTGTCCATTGGTCCATATAACAGATTTGGAATGCCATAGAAAGTAAAGGATGATATTTTTTTTGTTTGTCTGGGGTGATTTTAGTTTCATTTCTACAAAAAAAACGTACTGTCATTTTAGTAGAAATTACCGTAAAATATATTTTTTCGTTTTTCATAAATTTTTGTCAGTACATTCAGCAGTACACTTTTACCATATTTCAAAGGCCATAGAAGTGATTAAGAATTTACATAATTATGAAAGGGTTTTCGCAGCAGTGCCATAGAATAATGATTTTTCGTTGCCTGAAGAACTTTTCTGTGAACAGTTTTTTAAAGAACCATTTTTTTCTAATCTAAAGAACCTTTTTCCACTATAAAGAATCTTTTGTGGAATGGAAAGGTTACATGGATGTTAAAGGTTCTTCATGGAACCATTAGGGCCTTTCGCACCGCGGGAACCTAGGTATGGAGAACAGCGATAGATGGACGGACGCTGAAGTGCAGGCACTTGTAGCAAATGTAGCACTGCCAGTTGTCGTTGGAGATTCTTAGTCCTCCTTTCCGTTCTTTCAATCGCTTTACGTATACGTCGACTTTCCATGTCCATTATTGTGAAACCCGCGAGACACAACAAAAACACAGCTCCGATCACAGCGTCTTCCATCCTCCTGTTGTTAATGTTGTTTTTCTTTGTTTCTGTTGTTGAACGCCGCGCACAAATGACGTCGCTGTCGACCGGCTTACGTCACTTCTTAGTACACACTGTCGGTGCGAATGCAACCCTTTAAATGGTACTGGGAAATAGTTCGCGCAAAATCGTCCCAGTACTTTAGTACTGTACATTTAGTTCTGGAACTAAAGCGGTGCGAAAGGCCCTATTAATGCCAATAAAGAACCTTTAGTTTTAATAGTGCAAAGAAGACTTAAGTGGGTCAAAAAGCACTTTTTAGTTCAACTAAATGCATTTAATATAAATTTTAACTAATACATTTCAATATAATTGTAAAAAACATGCAATTACAAAAACATTGCATTCAGTATATACTATCAGTAAAAAGTACTCTTCAGTTAAAGGTATGCTATAGTTGTACTACTTTTTCACAAGGGTTTCCTCCAATGTTATAGTTTCTTTGTCTGGCTTTCTCTTCTGAAGACATCAGCATTACTGTTGCTGTTCTGGAATAGATGATCTGGCAGACTGAGGCGTTACATAGCACAGCTGCCACACTCCAGCTCTTCAGTCACTGTTCAATCAGTGATTCTATGGAGAGAGGCAGAATATTGCTTTCTGTTCACTAAGGAGGTTCATCTTAAAGAGATACAGTAGATAAGAGAAGCAGGTAGATGCAGTTTAAATAGCTTCTTGCACTACAATGGTTACATCTGCAATGTTGCATGAAGAGCTCTGAAGAGCCTGTTCTTAGAATAGAAAATGTCAAGTATTTTAATATTTATCCAAACTGAAACCTGTTCCTCTGGTCCACTGTAGCAAAGTCCCTATAAGGCAAGGCAGTCATCTTGGTGGCCAAAAATGAGTTGTAAACAATAGATTATTGAAGTATGATTTACTAATCTAATTGCAATTTCTGAGTGAAAATTGTATTCAAAACTAACAATATATAAGTTATTCTTAAGTTTACTTTATGGAAATCAGTGAAGCTTTCACAGCAGAAAGATTTCACACGTGCATCTATGGCTCTTTTTCTTGAAAGGCTTGACCTCCTTTCCTACAGCCGCTATAATGAGCGTTGTGATTTTTCCTTTTCATACTGTATCTACAAGTGGTCCGTCTCCTCCTACAGGAAGCTGTCTCTCAACATTGGAATGGATGTTGTGGCATTGCATACCATTGCAAAGAAAATAACAGTGTTGCATTTTTGGTTCAACTGTAACGATATTGTTCTGAACTTGACCTTGCAGTGAAGTACGTGCAGGAAACTTCACAGAGCAACCCAAGGAAAAATGGGAAGATTGTATTGCTCAATCAGAGGGTCTCCGTCAATTTATTCCTGCATGTGACTTTGAGAACAGGTCTCCTTGTGTTGGGAACGGAGAGGTGCGTAATCACACATCCAGCTGAGCGTACTGGAGAATCTGTCCGTAATCCTTGAGCAAACGATGTCATCCTCTTGGAATTTATGTGATGTGTTCTTTTTTGAGAGGACGGCTTAGGGCAGCTTATGGTGTGATGACATTGTCCAGAGTTCTTCGCTGACTGAGCTAACGACTGTCCGAAACAATCTGCACTGCATGACCTCCTATTAGGCATTTTTGGGGGGTGTGAAAAATGAAGAAAACAGCATGGTCCTTTAGAGAGTCCGAAATATCTTGTGCCAAGGACACTTGGCAAGTTCAACTTTACACACGGCAAATCCGAGCCTTCTTAATACACACTCACTCCTTTCTGTCAGCTTGTACGCTCGTTTAAGGCAAGGCATTACAGGCAAAACTACTGGTTTTTGCTTCCATAACTTGTCTTTTTTCAGACTAGTGGATAGAAAACATTCTGAATTCACATTTAAGGTTTTATTGTATTACACTTTATCTATTTGTGTCTCTAGATTTCAATTACAATACATGTTTTTAAAGGCCGTTTTCAGAAATCTCCACTTTAGCAGCAACATTGTCCAGAGTTCTTCGCTGACTGAGCTAACGACTGTCCGAAACAATCTGCACTGCATGACCTCCTATTAGGCATTTTTGGGGGGTGTGAAAAATGAAGAAAACAGCATGGTCCTTTAGAGAGTCCGAAATATCTTGTGCCAAGGACACTTGGCAAGTTCAACTTTACACACGGCAAATCCGAGCCTTCTTAATACACACTCACTCCTTTCTGTCAGCTTGTACGCTCGTTTAAGGCAAGGCATTACAGGCAAAACTACTGTTTTTTCACTTTTTGGACTCTTTTGCTTCCATAACTTGTCTTCTTTCAGACTAGTGGATAGAAAACATTCTGAATTCACATTTAAGGTTTTATTGTATTACACTTTATCTATTTGTGTCTCTAGATTTCAATTACAATACATGTTTTTAAAGGCCGTTTTCAGAAATCTCCACTTTAGCAGCAAACCAAACTTTACAGTTTTATTCCTGTCTTTATTCTGAAGGTTTTTCCAGAGGGGTTTGTTTGTTTGTTTATCATTCACCTGGTTTATATAGCATTTTCGTCATAAAGCATCGTGAATTTTTTTTTTTTTTAATACTTTAACAAAATGGAACTAGAATTTTGATCTTGGCTTTATCCAATTTTCAGATCTCTGTTCTAAAAATGTATGCAAATTAATTTGTATTTAATTAGATAATGCCTCAATTGCATATTTAAACATTGCAATTCAGAAAACGTGTTATACAAAGCAATTGTCTTATTATACTGTGATTAATCAACTGGGTATTTATGGTGATATCCATTAGTTGCAGTTTTTACCTCTAGTGTTTTGCCGCAAGTGGAAATGGTTTATTGTTTACTTAATATAATGTCATTTCGGTCTCAAAAGTGTGGTTGTTCACTGATTTACTCAAATTGGCTGAAGTTCATATCAACTTCTGACCTGGTGCTAGTCGTACTGTAGCCTCAGACGGCACACCCACTGTCCATTCACACAATGCATACTGAATAGAAAAATGGCAACAACAAAAAAAACTCTTAATCTGGCAAGGTCTAATCTGATTTTTAGGTTTTATGGAGATTTTCGAAATCAGGATGCTTTTTGGATGTGATTAATTGCGATTAATCGTTTGACAGCACTAGTTTATATAGTCTGACTAAAAACAGAGTGGTGCTACCAGAGCGATTTTAAAGGAATAGTTTACCCAAAAATGAAAATGTATCAAGAGAAGACTTCACCAGAGCAAATACAGAGGGTATTTTCACCACAAGGTGCAAACAAGGCCAGATTAGACTTGCCAAAAAACATCTAAAAAAAGCCAGACCACTTCTGGAAATGCATTCTTTGGACGTCTGAAATTAAGATCAACCTGTACCAGAATGACGGGAAGAAAGAAGTATGGAGAAGCCTTGGAACAGCTCATGATCCAAAGCATACAACATCATCTGTGAAACATGGTTGAGCAGTGTGATGGCATGAGCATGCATGGCTTCCAGTGGCACTGGGTTACTGGTGTTCAGTGATGACGTAACAGAAGACAGAAGCAGCCGGATGAATTCTGAAGTGTATAGGGATATACTGTCAAACTCAAACTTTTTTGACATGTTTAAAAATTATCAATGCGAGCCACGACCATGCGAGCATCAACGATTCCTCCCGAT